CTGAAACAGCAAAGCTTGACGTGATGTTGTGATGAATCTAAAAATGCACCAATTTGGCAGAGTGAACCACGAATTCAGCCTTTCTTCGTGATCCACCACCAAGTTGAGTTGCCATGGGAACCTGTTCGATTGATCCTTACAGTAGTGCCAGGGTGGATGGCACACAACCATCATGGTAGGACAAATGGATCAAGGATCAACAGGTTTTCACCAAATTGGGAACTCCAGGACACCTGCATGTACAGTGGGTATCCATTGTCTGCCTTCCAAAGAGGGTAACAGTAACATCCTAACTTCATCTCTGGGGAAAGCCCCATCAACTCTCCATCGGCGCCGATACTTCAGTTTCCCCTTACCCCGACCTCACAGTGTAAACAAAGCTCGGTCCAGAGCGGTTCGGAGCTCCGTGGCTCTCGCCCTCTCTCCGCGTCGTCGCCTCTCCGCCCTGGCGCGAGCCTGGAGATCTGCAGTTGCTGCACACGATGCGCAGCGCCCAGGACGGCTTGAAGCTCAGATGACCCGCGGCCCCGCGAGGGCCCACGGGTCACGGCACACGGTGCCCGGCAGAAAGAGCGCCAGGTGCAGGGTTCCAAAAAAGAATGTGTAGAAGGTGGTCCTAGTCCTGTGATCCTAATAGCTATGTGTATATCTATATACTGTGTATATCTATATACTGTGTATATATATATATATATGTTGATTATCTTTTTTATGTCCTGAAATTGGAAGATTTGGCCAAGCAACTGCCATGTTTGCGGGTGTTTTGCCACCTCTTCTTGACGAGAATGTTGCATCGTTCGCTTGAAACATGTTCGTTTGCTTTTTGGGGAGCCGCCGTGTTGATGCCTGAAAACCACAAAGAAACACAGTGCTACTGTGGATCAAAGGTGTCGTACTCGTCGTACTCTGTGGATCAAATTCCGAGTCCTGGTCATCCGTAGCAGGTATTGCTGACCACGATGGGGGTTTCCTCCATTGGGTTCAAGCGAGCACTTCAAGGCAAAGTGAATCCCACCACAGAAAAGGCCCAACAACATGTCAGTGGAATCTGAGAGTAGATAAGTCAAGCTATGAATCCTATCAGTTTTCAGCTTTGCAGACTCTCTCTCGTGTCCAAAGTTCTGAATTGAGTTCTGATGATCTACAACGTTCTTGGGCGGTGCACAACATCTGGGTCGTAGGACCTCTGCGCTTAGATCTGCAGGGCAGCGACTCACCCCATCACGTCCGGTCGCGGCCGGTCAATCAATCAGTCTTAATTAATTGATTGCATGCAAGCTTCGGAGATCGCCTTTAGAAACACCCCTTCCAAGCTTAGCTTTCCAAGCAGCAGGGGGGCGGTTTCACAAGTCCTATTTCAGAAGACAAAAAGATGAATAAAAAGTACGACAGAAAAGATCTGATGGCTTCACTGGGAGACAGGGACTTGCTGGACCCCCTTCAACACGAGGACGCTTCATTCTTCTCGTGAACACAGGTTGAAGATGGCCCAATGGCCAGATGTCAAGCATTCTCAGGCGTCTTCAAAGCTCACTCAAAATTCATCGATTTTGAAGCGTTTGGGCCCCTCCCACGGGGCGCTTCGTGGAACTTCACGACCACTCCACGCTGGAAGGTCCTGTGTGTGAGCCCTGCAGTCAAGGAAAGGGCATGGATGCGGCAGCAGGTGGGCCATGTGTATGGCCTGGAGCTATCCAGATTGGCAATCCACCAACGAACCCCAAAGAGCTAGAAACCAGCCATAGGAGCGACCCACAGTCTTCTGAAGTTCACCCAGGTTCACTCATGACCCAGCATGTTGAATCTGGCATCAAAACCACAGCCTTCTGAAGTTCCCCAACAGCCTTCTGCTCGGCCCATGTGGAAACCAGAAATTGACCAAATCTCTCCCGAAGATGCCACAGGAGACCATGCTCTTCAATCCTCAACGGGAAAACAGCCACCTCACGTTTTGGGCGGGCTCAACTAAGTCTCCGGAAGAGGAGAGCGTCAACATGTCGCGGGGCGGCCCCCAACATTTTGGGTAGCTGGGGAAGGCCATGAAGACCCTCGGGAAATTAGACTACGGATTACCCAGAAGTGGTTATGATTGGGTTGTGATTGTTTTCTTGGATTGGAGGTCACCCCGCTAATCCTTCCAGGAGGGAAAGAAGCGGTCTGCTATCTCCGCTCCTGCTTTCAGTTTGCACGCTCACCGGCAAACATATTGCAGACTCAAACCAGCGAGTGTGCAAAGCGTCCAGGAACACAGCCCGTCCAGGAACAAAGCTTGGCCTTCTGCTCAAACGAACATGATTAGGCTTCTCATCCTCATGGGGTTCTCACTGCATAAGAGCTTCATGCAATAATGGCAACCACTGTAACCAACGACGCACCACGGAAATTATTTCTCGCTTTTCTTGAAAGTTAAAGAGATACAAGGACTAAGGTCGACCATCGACTGGAGCGATTGTCCAAGATCGATGTAAAAGAGGATCTTAGCTCAGCAAGAAGCTCCTGACAAAGGGGCAGAATCAATCGATACGTAATACACAACAGAAAAAATAGACATACATGCACTTTAAAGTAAAAAAGAAAAACACTGTTTTTGTTCAGGACAAAATTGACGCGGGGTCCACTCAAAAGGCTCCTGATGCAAAACACCCCTCTTATGGGTCAACCCAATGCAATAAGCATTGCAAGGGATGACGATGCTTCGTGAATGGGCTTGCTGTCAAAAAACATCAACTGGCAAGCGCTTAGGGTGCTTGCGGAACTCCCAAAAAGCTCCTTCATCGCTCCCTGTTTGAAGGGGAATATGGATAAAAGAGCCGAAAGAAATGGACGTGGGTCCATGGCTCGAAGCTAGAGATGCTGAAGACCACCAAGGAATCATGACACTCTGAGATCAAAACGTTCAAGTCCCATACCTTGCAAAAAGAAAGTGGGGAACGCTATCTCCTACATTGGTCTAACATGCTGCAAAGTTTGGAGATACCCTAAAGAATCTGCATGGTCTTCGCACTGAGGCGGTCCAAACATCTTGAATGAAATGTTGCAAGGACCATTTCGCGGGACTGAGACCTCTGCCACCAACACAAAACGGTCCAATCGCAACCTCCCAGCCGTTCTGTCCAGCTTAGGCAGCTAATTGGGCAGTGACAACCTCAGCTGATTTGGGAGAGAAAACAAGTGCTAGGTTGGTGCTTCCTCCACATCGGATTCCTTTAATTAGTGGTATCAGAGTACGTCTGATGCTTGTGTGCAAGGAGAATAAAGCAGCACCTGCAGTCCTGCGTCCTTCGTTTTCGGCAATACCGGAAAAGTACTGAGCTGGGCACAATGAGCACCCGGGACAATTTGGACAAAGTGGTGAACAAAAAAAACACCTCCGCCTACTCACTCCAGCTGCAGAATAGTCCTGGTCCTCCTTCCCAACAAGAAAAGAATAATATGTGCCAAGATGTTTAACAATAAATTAATGTATTTTGTTATATTATACAATAGAAGCATCTTGGCAATTAATGCAAACCCATCATACCTTTGCACTGGTCATCTCAAAAAATGCTGGGCTCCTAATTATATACTTTCTTTGGGTGGTAGATTTGGCCAAGAAAGATAATTGGAACCAAAAGCCTCCAATGAATTCTTGAGATTTAAAGCATTAGGCGCTTGCCTTCCAAATAAATCTTGATAAATGTGTAGTTTGCCTTCTTCAAGAAAGCTATATTTTTCTTTTGCTTCAATCAGTCGATTGCAAATCACGAAAAAGAAGTGACTTGGCTTGGATTTCGGCTTTGACAAAAGTTACAACCGTTTCTCCTCTGCGAACCTCGAGAAATCGAGCTGCGAACGAAACGAATCGCCGAATCGAGCTGCGATGAACGGCTGGAGTCGCGCAGTCGATGAACGGCTGGAACCGGTGGATCTCAGACCCTGAAACGAAGCCCAAAACGGACCATGTGTGAGGACCGGGGAGGTGGGGGAAAGCTTCTCAAATATATATATATATATATGATTTCAACTGAGCTGTGGAAAAAATCAAGAACAGAAAAAGGACCGACCGACCAAAAAGGAAAAGAACAAGTTCTCGGCCGTGACGGACTCGAGAGTTCGCGACGGGTCCAAAATAAGAAGTTCGTTCGCGACTGGTCTGCTCGTCCGAAAAACCGAAAAAGATCCCGTTCGATTCCCAACTGAGCTACAGCTTGGCTGTGCCCTGAAAGCACGCGGACGCACTTCCCGCTCGAGGCACTCCTCGGAGAAAAGAGAGGGAGAAAAGAGAGGGAGAAAAGAGAGGCCCGAGAGACACTCCTTGAGACCTTGTGGGCCTCTTAGCCACATGGGACGATCGGTTTTTTACGATTCTTCTTCTGGTCACTTGTAGATCAATCATCATCAAGCATCTACATCTTCTCCACATACATCACAGTGACCAGAACCTTGTTGACCCATTTGCTGGTCTTTGGTGGTTCTTCCGGCCCATACCGGTCGCAATGTTCATGCATTTCCCACTCGCAGACCGCGGACATTAAAGGGCCTCTGACTTTCTCCGATCTGGACCAGATCTGGGAGGAATCCGACTACACGGCAAAATGCAAAAATAAAGCTAATCTGGATGATCATCGGCCTCTCAGAAAATCTCATCTGGATGTTGAAAATCTGAGAGGCTGCTAAGCTGCTCAAGAAGTTTTTGAGCAGCTCTTGTCAAGCGGATTCTTGAGGTTGATAGGGTGTTGCCTGTTCTTCTCCAGAAGCAAATGAGGGACTCCAGACTCCAGACTCGATCCCACTCCACTCAACAAAGTGACCCAATCTTTAGAGCAAGCAGTGCCAAAAAGACCTGCCAATGCGTAGGGAGGATTCCCGTTTCTAACCGAACAACCAAACAGTTTGGGCTGGTTAACAACTGAGGCTGTTGGGTGAGTGTGTTGGGTACGAAAAACTGAGAACCCATTGATTCGCCGACAAATCGATGGTGAGCCCAAGTAGGGTGCCGACGGGTTCTACCTACCAAACTGTCACCGACCCATCCGTTTCGCCTGCCTTTCGCCCACCCCAAAGCCAGAACATGCGCTTGCCCAAAGAGACCGTCTTCGGACTCGCTCTCGTCTGCCAGGAGACCAAATCCCGGCAGATCCGTCATACGAGGCGGTGGCAATCAACAAACCATCAGGAGAGAAGCTGGCCGCTCTCACCCAGTCGGTGTGCTTGCCTCTCGTCGAACCCGGTGGACCCACCCGTCGGACCCACCGTCGCACGAGGGTGGTCGTGTGGGGGGGGGGGATGGTTTGGCTAGCTGTGAGGTGTGACCCAGGAGCGATGTATTCACATGGAGCCTTAAAGACTTTGGGTGATCACTGCATTCCAACCACCAAAAAAGAAACATGGCCCTTGCAGCTGTGCCTGTTCTTTCTGTAAAGAGAATGAGATAGACACGTCTGATCGAGAAATGAACCGGTAAATCATAGATCTGTTCGGGGGAAAACCATGTGGCACAAACATCCCAACCGCTCAGATCACCATCGTCCACAGACATTCCACTCTGAAAGTGCACGAAAGCTTAGAAGACAAGGCCATCCTTAAACCAGTGGGTTTGACCATAGATGGTTTTAAGAATTGACGCTACTACCCTGGAAGGTGGCTGCAACTTATTGGCGCGATTTTAAAGAGAAAAGGGTCTTGGGTCTTGGGTTCGGAGGTTTCCATGCTAATTGCTCAAGCTAAGCAACTGTAGATAATGACGGTTAATTTTAGAGTCGCTACTGGAAACTGTGACAGGTTTCACCAGCTGCTAAACCTTTCGATGAAAGATGAAAACTGACAAGGAGTATTGAAATTGATGTTTTTCCTATTTTCTAAAAGTTGTGTTCTACTATCTTCTATGTGGCTGACGTCCCTGGTAGTCCGCTTTCCGCTCACCGGAATGTTTCAACTGGCCGGTTCAGTAGCTCCTAGGCCCTTGTAATACTTAAGCATGTTTCGGTTTGCCTACTTGCCATCATCACCAAACTAAACAGAAGCAGGGCTGTGCCCGTCGATAAATAGAACCCCAAACAAAGCTTCTTGAATCTGAGTGGCTAAGTAATCCCAATGTTTTAATGCCATGGTTAAGTCACATAAAGCCTCTGCTTGCACCACATTAGGAGAGGGCAGTGGCCGTCCTGTCGTTTTGAGGTCTTGCACTTTTCAAGGGTAAACAACATATGTAACATAAGCATGACTCAAGGCAATAAGGAGTGTGGGCTCGGGCCTTGCATAAAGAACCTGTTGGGTACTGCTCAAACTCCTTCTTTCCTCTGGGCACTTGCACAAGACAGTGTCAGTATGTGTCAGTGTACTCTACTAAGTATTGGAACTCTGGCTTTCTCAACGCTGGCCCGCCTTGTGTTGTGAGAGATGATTGATTTTCTTGGATTCTATGTGTATATATTGTTTAAATAGAATTGCACCACATCCAACAAACACCCATCAACTCGCACCATTCAACCCGCCCGAACACCACCCGGCCGGTTGGTTGGGCCTTTTAAGGACAACTGCAGCTGACCGGTGGCCAAATGGATCAAATTCACGGTGTCTGATGCGCAGGCGATCAGAAGCCTGGCCGTGTCGCTGACCGTCGCTTTCTGTCAGAGCAATCAAATCCGCAAAAATGGCAGGTGTTGGTTTAGAAAAACAATGACCATGTCCAGTTTGCACTTGCCTAGGTTATTGAACATACCATACCATACGGCCTAGACCCTGGCATTTTGGGGGGTGCTCTGCAGGTTGTCCCAGGTCAGACGTGGTGGACACCAGGGAGGCGAGACTCACCTGACCCAGCTGTCGGAGGCGATCAAGCCGCTCCGATAGCTGGGTCATGGAGCTGGCAGACCCCGACATGTGAGAAGAAACCGATCAAAGGCCCCAGCTATTAGAGTTGGGTCTATCCTATGACCAGGATCCAGTACATGATGATTACTAAAGGCCTTTGTTTAAAAATAGTGATTTGGTTTACTGACTGTTACAGGCAAAAGGACAGACCCAAACCATCCCAATTGTTCGAAAAAGGAGCCCAAGAATGTGCCGCCTCCAACACATCAAGAGGTATTCAGTGTCCATGTCAGCTGTCAGTAAAAGTAGATTTTGCCCACACCGACTTTTGCTAGGGGCCCGGAACGCAGCGCATCAAGTCATTTCATGTAATAAAGGGTTGAATGCTTCTTCCAAAACTGCTTTCAGCTGCTTTATGCATCAGGTTAGTCCATTCCCAAAATTTGATGGACAAAAAGATCTCGGTCTCGATCGCCTCGATCGGAGCGAACTCCTCCGGCCTAGATCCCTCCGGAGAGAAACAGGCTGAGCTCACCACTCCTCCTGGGTCGCCAATCCGTCGAAGGAAGCGCGGGGTCCAAATTAGGATTCAGGGGCTTGGTCTTCCACGTGTCAATTTTCAGGGTTCATGTGAGTGTGCACGGGGGCTTCTTGCTACCATCTCAAATGACTGCAGCTTTGGGAGGAGAGTTTATCACTGGTGTCCAAAGTTCCTACTTAGAAGTGTTCTAGTCTTCGCGGAGAAGCCTAGAGTATGAGCAGGATCCATCGCAAATCGCCAGGACAGAAAACGACCACCATCGGCTTCACATTCGAAAAGCCCGATTGGAGAGGGTTCTATGTGACAGGGGATCAAACCACTGACTGCAAGTCAGTACAACTGTTTCGTGAGTAGCAACCTCCTTGGAGGCAAATACTGTATCATTGTTCTGTAGCGACTCATGTGAGCACGCACCAGCAAATATGCTCCCCACCCTTCGCAGTGGTCTGCTCTTCGTGCCTTCTCCTTCAAGACTCAGTGCACACTCCTGAAACATGCACATGCAAGCAGGACGAAATCTCTCACCGCCCATACCCATAGTCGATGGGTAGTTTCCGTTCAACCCTTATCCCCAGGATTTTGCAGGTGCGACTTTGTCCGAACCGGTAAGAGTACACTAGTTGAACGTATATATATATATTATATTATATATATCTATACTCCCGAAAAAAATATCATGGAACACGACTTCAAGTCTCAGTGCTCACTAACATGGTCTCCCTGCTCGTTTGGTTTCCTGGGGAATATGGAAACCATCGGTCTCAGGGGAAGAGGTGGTTGGGGAGACTAACATAGACCACCACAAGGATGGAATGAAGATTGGCGCACTACAAATGCAGCACCCAGGAGAGGCTAACATGGAATACGTCAGAGTAGTCAAGATCCAGGAAATCCAGCATCTGGAAATGATCCATGCTAGTCTCACCTTGGTTCATTTACCTGGGAAACTTTCCCACATTTTGCCCACACTAACATGGCCCGCTCCCAGGAGCTTTTTCACAAATAGGACACCTCACGGTAACATACCACACAGATTATATGTTTTGATGATGTTAAATTTCGCGGGTGTAGTTCTCCAAAAGACTTACTCTATCCTTTTTTGAGATGGCAACGAGAGGGTTGTGGGAACATTTCCAGAAACTGCTGGCTCCCATACTTACATGCCCAGATTGGAACACCTGGACCCATCTACCCATACTTCATTCGCTTAGACCCACACCCAAATGTTGTCAAAGATTCAAAGTTCACCGCCTTTAATACCTCCAACTACAATAACACACAAGAAAAGATTTAGGTGTTTCCTATCCTGATTCTGCAGGATATCTTTCGTCAACGGTACCTTTACGATCCACGGCCCCAAAGTTGCAGACCGCCCCAGGCTTGGGAAGGGGAAGCTGAATTTCCCACTTCACGCAGTGCAAAAGTGGGTTTGGTCAGTCGGATGGGTGGATCGGACGATGGAAAAAAAGAACGACAGACCTCCACCCTAGTAGCCATGACCTCCACCCTAATAGCGATGGCCTCCACCCCAGTAGCGATGAAAAAAGAACAATTCACATGTTGAGCTGAATGAATTGTCCTCAACGCAATAACGCAATACAAAAAGCTTCTGGGCACATGGAGACGTTCGTTTCCAAATGTTGGCGTTGGTGCAGAGACACCCTAAACCCTGAAACGCTCAACCGCCAGGATTTAGACTCCTACTTCGCCAGGGCGGTCTGTTTTAGAAATGCCAGAAACCCCGAAAGGTTAGAAAAAACACAGGTTGGGGCTGCGACAATCCTAAAGGTTTATCTACTAGCTGAGTCATACACTGCAAGCTGCTGTGTAAAGTTTGGTAGAAAATCACAAACACAGTGCGTCATTGTCCGTTGTCTTCTTGATCTGTGCTTTTCCAGACCGAGATAAATGGATACTCTTCCAATGATTTGGAAGCTTTGATGCCACGGGGGTCCCGCGGTCACTGGTGGCTCCAGAAAGCTGAAGAACCTCCGAACCAACGAAACCAAGTCTGATCACATCATGCACCACCAGGGCTCAGTATGCTGATCACATCCACCAGTGCCCTCGATACCTTGGTGGCCGCGAATCAGGCCTTCCGGGGCTGTTTTGACTCACGGCTGGCGCAAGGAGGGTCCTGACAGAGGCTTCAAAGGTCTTGAAAGATTGGGCCTCCCAAGAATCATGTTCATGGGCCCGATGGATCCCAGCCCACTTTCCGGTCGATGAGTGTGTGAACTTCCGATCCCCCAACTCAATAGTCGATAGGTCTCCAAGACGGTGGATCCAACCAACACTTGCCTTTAACCCTAGAAGCAAGAGGGAGATGGTAAAGACGAGCAAGATCTCCATGTGGTCTTGTTGTAGTTGTGGCGAGTTTCCGTGCTGTGGTTGACACGTGTAGGCCCTGTAGGCACCACCCAAAGAGCGACCGGCGACTGTGCTCTCTCCCCAGGCCATTGCCCAGTGGTCGCCTTTGATCCACGCCCACAAACCCCAATAGAAGTGAGTGATGTGATTAGGAACGTATGCAGCGATCTATTTCAAGTACACCTCTTCAGGAAGCCCAGCTTGTTTCGTGCTGGACCGTGCATGAATCCGGAGTCTGAGCCCTATTTGAGTCTCAATGCGTCGGACCGCAACCAGGGATAGCTAATGGACATCCCGTCGGGTCGCCTGCGGAAAACACTACACTTGATATGTGCGCATCGCCAACTCATACATCCCGCCAAAGAAATGGCGTGCTGAAACCTTAAACAGGAACTGGAACAAAATGACCCATGTTCCCCATTGTTCCCCACTCCTCTCACTCGCTCATGACTCCTGATCTTCCATCAGCCCAGCAAAAATGCCCTCCTTTGTCACATCAAAGTCGAACCTATTTCGTCGGAAGTCAGACCCACCTCCTCCTCCCAAAACCCGCCCAACCAGCCACCCTCGTCCACCCATCTCCAAGACACCCTCGTCGAACTCCCAGAGCTTCACGGTGCCGTCCCTCGACGACGTCATGGCCCGAAGCCCATCGGGCGAAAAGCTGCATCCGTTCAGCGCGCCCTGCGGCGGGGTTCGGGGTTCGTTCTCGACGCGCGGCGAGAGCGAGCTCGCTTTGGCGGCGAGCGAAAGCCGGAAAAAGGCTGCGGAACTGAGCCCAGGTGGGCCCGGAAGTGTCGAGGAAGTGAGCCCGGTGGAGCAGAGAGTGGTGGCGGTAAGAAAAAGTGACGAAGGAGGTTGGGACAAGCAGAAAAATTCTTGGAAGGGTGGAGCGGAGCAATGGAGTAGCTTGTACCTGAAGCAGCTCCACCGAGTGGGAAGGTGAAGGTGATCTCGAACTTGCGGAGGCTCCGGTTTTTGCTCCGAAATGGACCCTTCCACCATGTAAGCCGGGGGGTCCAGACGTTGGGTACATGACATGAACACTGTACAGGATGAATAAGCCATGCACAATGCAAATGTACAAGTTGTCAGAAAGGGAATTGGAACCCCGGTTCTGAAACCAACCAGCGTGGATGGATGGAAAATGCACGAAGGATGAAGGTTCTGTCTGCCGCACGAAGTGGTGGTGAAAGTGGTCGTGATCATGGGTGCGGTCGTGAAGCCGGCTGCTGTTGGTGCTGTTGTTGGTGATTCTGCAGCCCTAAATTCGGATTGTGCACTAGAAGCTACTAGTAACAAGGGCATCGCTACTAGTAACAAGGGTATTACTACTAGGAACAAGAAGCTACTAGTAGCAAAGGGCATTGCTAGTAGTAGCTCCTCTCTCCTAGTAACAAGGGTATTAACAACGGTATTACTACTAGTAGCTCGAAGCGGTCACAAAGCCCCCGCCTGGTGACCCACAAGGACTCTCAGGCATTTCCCGGTCTGGCAGCTCCAGATGCGGCCCGTGTCATCCGAAGAAGCCGTCAAAAGGAACCGACTGTCCTCAAGGGAACTGGCATCGTGGTGTGCTGCGAAGCATCGAAACATTGGAAGGCAGGACCGAGTGACAGTGGCAAAACAAGTGTGATCAGGCAAGTCAAGATGACCCATGGCAACAAGAGTTCTGCACGCTGGACCAACATTTTTGCAGTTGGATGGCAATGGACACAACGGGGTCTACAGGCTCTAAGCATGTCTACATCAAGTATATACCCAGGTGGCCCGGGTCAAAGGCTCTGAGCTTCAATTTGTTCAATCGAAACCTCATGACTCTTAGCAAAGAATCATCTGGATTCCAGCCAAGGATAGGAGATAGGCGGCAAGAGGCTAGTTTCACTCAGGAGTCATTGTTATCTCCGTTCTGAGAAGTGACTCCATCGTTATGTCCTTCCACGACCGAGAAGATCTCCCGAGCGCGAGTCTCGCGCGATCTCCCGGTGGGCCTCTCTGGTCGAGCCGAGCATCCGCTGAGAAGGAGGAAGATCGCACGGCCCCTTGATGACCGTGAAGAGTAAATCGCAAGTTGCCTGGAGATCTCCCCCCGCTTCGCCCGGAGAGAGGGGAGGAACACAGGAAAGGACTCGAGGTCCTTGGGGAGCCACCGACTTCCTGTTGGACCAGGGCAACACGAGAAGAACGACTCTAGCCTGGGGAAAACCCACCCACCCCGAGTTGTGGCCACAGGCCTCTCTTCAAACCGTTGCTCCAAGGCCGAGGCCTCTCCCAGGCTTCCTTCCAGTTTGCCGTTCTCTCTTGCACATGTCTTGTTAATACAATCAAATATACATACAGAGAAAAACATCCCAACACCATTGCCATTGGCACCCTTTGGCTAGGACCAATTTGGTGCTGGGTCCCAATCATCCCCGCAGGATGGCCCAAACCCAAAGGACCCACACTGAGGACCGCTCACCCACGGCAGCCAGTGCAGATCCTCCGATACCGCACCTTCTCAGGCTGAATCCTAGCAACACCCTGCAAGCTACGAAGAAAACTGAACGACCCGTCCAACCACTTGGTGTGTCAAATGGGAATGGAGCAGTGCACTTGGCAATTTTTGTGCGGCACCTCCAAGATACAATTTCTTCAAAATCATGTCTAGTATTTTAGTGGATGTCCTATTCAGTCCCATTTGGAGTCATCGTCGACTCGACCCGCCTGTGGTGTCCCAAATTTGAGTGCAGTAGCCGGCAGCGGTCACCACCAGCTTCCCGCAAGGTGAGAAATGAGCAAAGCTCATCCTCAGGTCGATTCGAGACTTTCCGGGAGACGCAAGGGGGGGGGGGGGTTCGGGTCATGTGGGGATGGTATCTGCTCCAAGGGTGTTGAACCCTGAGGGTCTCGATGTCATGAATTAATTTATCATGGCCAAGACCAGGTTGTTCGGTTCCAAGATTAGTGCCTAGAGTCGACTTGGAACTAGGACAATTGCAAGGATAGTAGGTTTTTGCATCTTGACCTCTACGGACGGACTAAAGCGACTGACTGGTTTGAAGCCACTGAAAAAAGGCACTCCTGTCACTTCCGCCAAGCCTCTCGGTGTCATCATCCGAGTCCGAATCCCATTGAGACGATGCGTTTGGCGCAAACATCCTGCCCGATGGCATCTTGGCTGGCTTGAGTCAGTGTCACCAGGGTTCCATCTGTCCTAGACGACACCGAACTGTCTTTCTTCTGGTTGTGAACCCTTATCTTAAGAACCAACAGGGTGAAGCTTGAAAACCACGCTCCCCTTGTTGAACAGAAACTGTCCCACTGGTAAGGTCTTGGTTTCCCCTGCCGTTTCTCTACATGGCCAGCAGCTACCTCAGTGTTTTACACACGATGCAAGTCTGTCAGCTGACGAGAAAATCTCCCACGTCCTTTGCAAAACTTTACCCGTCTGCGCGCACCAAATCACCGCCACCTGGATGGACCGCGTGCGCAAGTGGTGCTTCATGAACGCACGGTTCCCCAGAACGGCAGTGCTTCCCCGGCCGTGCTGGGTGGGAAAGTGAAAAGAATTGCTGGGTGGGTGAGTTCAAGGAAGGTGCAACCAGTGCTCGACTTCAGGGGGACCAACAAAACCCCACAGAAAAGGCCACTCGAAACAAAACCACACGGAGTGATGGTTGCTTCAAGTTTGACCACTAGATACACTGAATATCGCTGGGTCACTCCATCTGCGTCGATGCCAACTAAGCTGGTGCCATTTGGCGAAAAAGAAGCTGAGGCACATCCGCCTGGGCAGTGCTGGGGCAGGAGCAATCCAACAGAGCAGGCCTCACTGCCCACGAGATTCTGACAGATTCCTGGTGCCATTTGGGAGAAATGCAGAGCGTCTAAAAGAGGAAGACCGGAGCAAGTTCTGCACCCCCAGACACCGGAAAACCACCCAAGCTTCGCAGCAATTTTGTCGATTGAAGGATCTTCTACTTAATGCAATGGTTGGCACAATTCGCTCGCTATTCTTCGTTCGAGCAGGGAAACTCACTGGATGTTCCTCAGCGACCGCGCAGACACCAGCGCGGTGTCTGGGGTGTCGCAACAGTGCCGGACCAGGACGTCCGTCCTGGGTTTTTGTTGTGCTAGACTCTAGGCTCTAGGCTGTTAAGTAGAGACCCTCACTCTCTACAACTGCCCAAAGCACTATTTGAGCAGGTCAGTAATCCCGTTTTTGGCTGAACCAGCGGGATTAAACAATGCGTTCAGACAAATGAAATTCTCAACAGTGAGAGCAGCTGGCGCACTCAACCCCAAAACTGTTCGGCCTTCACAAAACCCCCGTTGCTCATAAAAACCATGGTTCCAACTTTTCAATATGTTTTGTGCCTTTGAGCGTCAAGTCTGGATACAACCGGTGCGGCCGTTCAACTACAAAGAATACACCTGAGTACACCATGTGTCTCTCAATTGAAGCAAACCTGGTCCACAAACCGGCGTTTTCCTTTGCAGATGCAACAAAACAAGCCGGGAGTGGAGTCCTGGAATCACCAGTCACCAGTCATGTGAGTCTCAAGCCAGCCGCCCATTGCGCCAGCCTCACTTCTTCCCACGGCTCTCCCCGTGCGTCTCGTCTAAACCATCTCTCGGGGTTTCTCCGAGGAAGCCGTCGCCTTGGAGTTTCGCAAGGAACTTTCCCGTTTCCGTACAGAAGAGCTTTCCACTTCCGCCATCCTGCGCGGGTCATTGGAACCGGTTGGAAGCAGCTAGCCATCGGTTGAAAGGGCCGGCCCTTCCACTAAGCTTGGCATCTGTGGGGCACAAGTGACTGTATGAACTTGATAAAAGTCAATTCCAATAGTGGTTGGTGCGAAGAAAGACCGGGTGGTTGAGCGCAGGAACGGTCAAGACTCTGGTCAAAGCCATTCCTGGGGTATGTGGTTCTTTGGACCATGCTGTGAGAAACCGCAAGAGCAACAAAAACACCACTGCCGTTTGCACAAGGCCTCTAGAAGCAGTCAAACCATGACTATGACGACTAAGTTCAGTAAATGTGGGTGTGAAGAAATGCAAGTGTTGACTCGTTGACGATCAATTTCAAATACTCTGTGATGTCAATTCCTGCTGAAATATTCCTCTTGTATGCTTCTCTTCCATCCTGTTGATGTCATCGCGGCATTCGGTCTTGCATTCTTGTTTGCTCCAACTTGATTGATAACTTGATACTCATCGTTGTCTTCACCTGTGGCTTTGCCTACCTGTTCGGCTGCCTACATCGTCCCTTAACATTCGACAATACACCTCATCACACAGCGCAAAGGGCTTTTCTCATGAGAGAGAGAGAGAGTGTGTGTGTGTGTAACATGTATATAGTGTGTTTGGTATTGTTCGCTTGTACTAAATTACTAAATGTTGTAGGAATTATTCAGACAAGCAAAAAAAGCCAATATATAACTCTGGATCAAACATCAAGGCCGGCCAGAAGTTGTGCCACACCCAGAAAATAATGAACACATCAAAGCCTGCGTATGGTAAGTCAAAGCTTGTGAACATTTGTGAACAGTATTTGGGTCGTTACATGGTCATACTGAGTCGATGTTGAACCATCTTCGTCCAAATCCAAAGGCACCAACTGGTCGGACCCAGAAAAAAACCACTTCCTGGTGCCGATCCGACCGGTCGCCCCACCCACCTCGGTGGAAATGGCCAGTAGCGTCGACGAGGAGATCTGCGCGCTCTTCAAGGCCCCGCCCGGTCCTCAGCTCTGACCGGGATGGCCGAACAACCGGTGCACCGGGGGGCGGAACGGCCGAAGGGGTTGGACCCCTCGGTGGGACGATCCGTGAGGACACCCAAAAACCCCCTGCGCAGAGCGCTCGCAGAGCTCGCAGAGGACGCAGAGCCCAGTCCCATCTACCCAAACCGGAGGGTGGATCGTACACTCCAGATACGGGGTCAAATCACACCGAGTGCACACATGTAGGACCCAGGTGTTCTTCGCTTGATCAAAGATTGGCTGTGGCCAGTCCTATTCTTCATCCACAAAGGTTGAACAAACGACTTCCATTCAAGACACTGCCCACAATCCGAAATGATGGACACTCGTGTGTTATCAAGACATGCGCTGAGGACTCTTGTGCTTTTGTCTTGAGGAAGCCCCAAAGGGTTCAAGTACCTCTTAAGAGAATGTTCTTACGTGGGGATTGAAGGGTCTAGCTTTCAATGTCGTTGGATTGGTCCTCACCCCGTCTGGAGCCATGAACGACCCTTGAAAGCAAAGACAACCGCTGCAAAATCAAAAACCCTCTCAAAAAAATGTTGCAACGCTACATTCAGGACCCCTTTGGACTGCGCACCACCTCGCCGCTTCCGTCGGAGGTACCCCGCTTCTTCCGTCGGCTGATCCGCTTCCAAGCCGCTCAGGCGCAACTGGGGCTCCTCCTCGCACGTCTCGTGGAAGTCCCACAAACCGACCTCGGCCGCGGCCGAGTGCTGCCGAGCGTCCAGAAGGAGGGGCCCCCCACGTAGTAGGGCGTGTACTGTAGTGTTGTTGCGTTACCACCTAGGTGGTAACACCTTGTCTAGAGTGGATCGTTGGAACATCCGAGTTGTCTTGGGAATCCTGGCCTGTGATAGTAGAGGCATCTTAAGATTGCTTGTGAACCTGGACTTCTTAGGCATCGACCTGAAACGATACAGTAACTTTTCTCAGCCCAGTGGGGTTGAATCTTGCCTTTGAGGGGTGTCAGTGGGAGGGTGGTCTCTCTTTCCCTACTCAAGACAAACTCAAGAGGTCTTGCCAGGACAGAGCCGATTTGGGTTACCTTCAATCAATCGAGACATGCATGCTTGCACTCTAGGCCCTAGGCCGCAAGAATTCCACCAACTCCCACACATGGCCCAACTATCAGACTGCTTGCTCCCAAGTATCTGAGCCATCATGAGAGGCGGTAATACACCGCACCGGAGTTCGTGCAAAGTACACGGTGTCGCCGTCCCGAAGACCCACCTTGGCATGTTCAGATTGAATCCACAAAGAAGTCTGGTGATCCCCAAAGAAGTCTATAGTGGCACGGTTTCCGTGGGGATCTGATGCACTTCCATCTATGACAGGGCGTCTTTGGAAGTGATGCATTTTTGGAAGTGATCCCCGAATCTCGAACGTCGAACGTCCTCTGTTTGTGCGTTACTGAATTGAATCATCCAACCTCCAACTGTCCAACTCTCTTTCCCACTGTAGAACCTGTCCCCTTCGGACGCCAAGGAGCTTCATTCAAGGATCTGTGCTGCGGGAGTACCTCCCACAGCCGAGTGCTCCAAGAGTTTGAGAGACGGGTGTGCCCCGAGTTTGGGCTCGTGGGTCCCGGAAACCCAACCCCACGTAGTTCAGTATACACATATAACTACTCAACTCCGCTCTGTATATACATATGTATATCTATATATATATACTGTATATATGTATATATGTTTAATATATATATATATAGGAAAAGCGAGATGCTCAGCACACTCTCAAAAATGTCAAAGAATGTCACTGGGGCGTTTGCCAGACTTTCTCGCCGTCTTCAGATCAGCTGTTCCTCCCAACTCCGTTGACGACTGGCAGCGCCTCCGACTTGAAGATCAGCGAATGCGACACCACGGTGTTCGTCTCGCCCATCTCTTTCACCACTGCTTCGCAAAGCTGTAAGACTGAATCGCTGGGCTTCAAGCCTCGACGGTGGTGCATGTGACACGGAGCGAGATTTTTCCATCATACATGTTGCATGCATGCCCATGAGATTTATATCTTGTACAATCTACGGAATCTCTATTTGTCGGCACTGGCTCCCGGCATCCTTCCGTGACTGCTTGCCTACCCCAGTTGGGTCTGACTAACAGAGCTCCATGCTGAAAAGAACACCTGCACACTGCACACCTGTTTTCATGCCTGACAAGTAAGACATCAGACACTAAACGCGCACATGTTTCTCTGGGTGAACTTGCGACAAGCGACGAACTTGTGCCAGAGGCTCACCACTCATGGCGCTGCACACATGGAGCTTAAACCTCTGAGTCTCAACTTCCAACTCTTCTAACTTTGTACGGAACACATCGAGGATCTCCTGTCACCAGGCAAGAGGCAGACAAATCAAGCAGACATCGAGATAGACGCTTGACGTTTCTCGTGAAATTCAAAGATAGCCGGTAGCCATTACAAAATCTGCTCAATTTTTTGAGAGGCAAGTACCAATTTATATGCCCTTCCACAATTATATACAATACAAATGGGAGTTTGTTCCTCAGATTGCAATTTGCAATCGACTTGCTACTTTCTCTCAGCCATCGAAAGTTTTGTAGGTCATCAGTCTGGAGTGGATTTGTCTTCTCAACACCAAGCCAAATCCGGAACCCCAACACCCCAGTTACAGAAATTGGTTCCCCTGTTATGGGTCTGTTAGGCTCGCGAACGAATGCTAGAAGAAAACGACTGCAACAAAGTAACCAATGAATCGCTCTCCCTCTCTACTCCCTCGACCCAGGGTACCAGCCCCACACTTTCAGTTTCACTCTCTAGTCAGCTCCAACAGTAACCAATGAATACCCTCCATACCTTTCCCTTCGCAGCCATGCACGCTCCTCCTTCCGCTCGCGCTCTTCCTCCGTGTCCGAGGAGGAGGCACTCACGGCTTCCTCCGCCCTCTCCAAGGCATCACGAAGATCTTGTAGCCCGTCGTCATTCCGAGCTTCCCTGGGGAAGTGCCACACTGGCAAATGTCTTTGGTGGTTTTTCGGCCAGAACGGGAAGGAAGCTGGGAGTGGTCCAAGGAAGGGTGGATCTTGACTAGGTGAAAATCGTGAACGCATTGGAACAAAAGAAAACATGTCATTGCAGCTTCCGAAATCTGGCCAATCCTTTGGCATGTCAAATACTGATCTCAAACTTTGTCCCAAGGTCAAGGATCTTGGTGGTTTGACTCACCCAACAGTCTCCAGCAATCCCAAAGCACCAGACCGCTCCCCTCACCGCCCTCACCTGTCGCTCTGGCCGAACATGCTGAAAGGCCATCGTGAAAAGGTTGTCATTCTGATCCAATTGTCCCAACTAGCTAACCCTCACTGGCTTGAGCCAAAATCCATGCCTTGGCAGCCGAAAATGGAAAGAAACATGTGGGGTGGGCGATGGTGGGCGATTTGGTGCTTGGCTCTCATCTAACATGGCTCTCGATGCATCACGTGGTGCTTGGGGATCCCCAGCTGAATGGGATGAATGAACCGGATGGAGACGGATGGAGACGGATGGAGACGGATGGAGACGGATGGGTGGGTGGATGGATGGGTGGATGGATGGGTGGATGGATGGATGGGCGGGCATCATTTTTGTCTCTTCTCGTTTGGTGTCTCACAACTGCATTTCAAGAAAGCATGT